TAAGTACGCACCCCTTCTACGCACGGCCGGTACCACAGTGAACATGTAGTATGTGTGTCTTAAAGACAGTTCGTCGTTCCAAACAAATTTAAAATTGTTAAAAACTAGATTTATGCCGTGTACTACGTGATGGTATGGTAACGTAGCGCGAAACGTTTCAAGTTCGGGCTTGTTTTTCACCGCCAGCCGCAGCAGACTTGCAAGACGTCACCACCGCATCGAAAGGTAAGGCAAGTGCGGCGAAACGCACAGATTTGGATCCAGCTTTGGAGTGTTGGTGATCAAGCAAGCAATGGTCAATAAAGATTCGTGAAAAAAAGACAATATTTCAATATTGATTTTATCGGTAACGGAGGGTAGTTGAATGTTTGTTTGTTTGTTTGTTTATTCGATGTTGATGCACAAGTACGTAGTTGAATGTTTGTTTGTTTGTTTGTTTATTCGATGTTGATGCACAAGTACGTAGCTTTAATATTTTTAATACGAAATGCACCGAACGCATCTTTAATAGCGCCCGCGCGATCGACCCATGGAGAGCAACAATCATACAGGCGGAGAACTGGGCGGAGTATTTGGGTGTAGAGGTGCTACCGAATTTAAAATTTGACACCGAAACCAATTAACACAACAACAGAAGACTACTGGGATCAATGGGACTTGCGATTCCGAACAGGAGAAAGTGACAAGTTTGACTGCGTTTCAAGTAATCTCTCGTTATGTGATAGATATTTTTGTCACAAAATCAAAGGAATAAACACATGTATTAATTTGTACTCCGTAAAATTTATAAGTACAGTCTGTTCAGAGGAAAGAAAGACTTCCTTCTCGGGGTCCATGTTCTGGAAAGCTGTCCTCAGCGCTGCGCATGCCACGGCCCTCTCTGTGATCTTCAGCTGTAGGTGTACTTTGCCTGTCGGCGCGTCAAACACCCCACCCACCGGCCGGGCGGTAAGATTTCATCAAAGGCTACATTTTAAGTTAACTCCGCCCCTATCATTGTAGCTTGCCGACAGTCGAGTAGGAGTACATCTAGCTGGAATTTTCACGTCGTACTGGCTGGTGTAGCCCGCTACAGAGTGA